TTCTGATTAAAATAAGACTAAACACTAAATAATTTAGACTATGTATATCAATCTATGTGATATGTGCACCATTCTCGGGACCGAACTGGTGCAGATATCGTACAGTTCCTACATTGATTGATGTTTTGCCGAACGTCGAACTGGTGCAGATATCGTACAGTTCCTACATTTCGAGCGAAGGAGACTGAACGTAAACAAACAGTGACCTGCCAGAGGGACACTCCTAATGCAAGTATAGGAAGGGAAAGCGACCTAGGAAGGGAAAGAGCGGCCTTTACCAACTAAACGACTCGTTTTGGAAAATAACTAAATGTAAAGATTGTGGGATTCGTGTGGAATGCGGTTAAGGAGTGAAATTCACAGGTCAATATCTTTCAACAATAAGGTTGTGGGAATCGCATAAGGGTAAACACAGTAATCAAGTCTATGTTGTGTTCCACACAAGTTTATTAAAATGCGTACGAGCAGCGAAAACGATGTAAGCTATAAGAATGACTCTGACGGACTGTCTCGTCGTTGGTTAAAACCTCTCCTCGAAAACTCATCAGTAAAAGAAGAAAGAAACAGTTTAGAAAGAGAGAAAATATAGAAAGTGGGAAAATCCAGAAAAACCGTTGAAAGTTCAGAAAAGGAGAGGTACAGCGGAAGAGAATCATAAAACAGAAAGTGAAGAGGTTCGCAAGGGCCTGAGAGTTGACACTGACCAGGCCTCGGCGAGACCCTATAGAAAGCGAAAACAATTAGAGAACGTAAAGCTAAAGAAGATAGAAAACAGGAAACAGAATTTTAGAAAACAGAAAGAATATAGAAAACAGAAAAGGCAATGGCGTATGTGGTGCCAAGGGCGCCACAAGGTTTATTCAAATAAATAATGAAGATGATGAATTTAACAAATAACAAGTAACAAATAACAACAAAATATGAAAAATATATTGGTTTGATCAAAGGAAACTAAATAGAGTTTGATGTAATATTAATAATAGAAATAATAGAACTTGGCAAATTAAACAATACGTAATAGATAATTGTGAATCTAACAAAAATGACTCTCGCTAGTTTTATATTAAATCGTACCTAAGTCTGATTTCGGATAAAGCTAACTTCGCTTCTATAAAATTAATTGAATTCGATATTCTGTAAGATTTGATTCTCGTTTCGAACGCTATCGCAATGACAAAATTTATCTTGATTAATACGTTTGTGATTTATATAACGATTACTCTTTTACGAAATTAATAATATTAGCGCGTGATAGTCTACCGCAGCGAGGAATAGCCTGCGTTAGCTAGCTACTAGAACGACCCAACGATACAGGAAAAGGGTGAACAATATAAGTTTAACAGGGTAGCAAATCAATTGACTCTAATTATAAAATCGTTATTGCTGAACTACCACCCAAAAGACACGGGCTTCAGAGACCAAGCCGCTCAAATGGGGAGCCTGCGTTAGCTAGCTACGAAACAACCCAGAGCGAGCTCCGAGAATCTGATGACGCGTTAGCAATCCGATGAAAAATCAAATGTGACTAGCGGAAAGCTATCGTTTCGATATCTTAGCCTATCTTGGCGCCAAGTATAGCACTTTCCTAGCAGAGTTTCAGATACAAGACCGTTTGAATGGGGAGCCTGCGTTAGCTAGCTACTAGAACGACCCAACGATACAGGAAAAGGGTGAACAATATAAGTTTAACAGGGTAGCAAATCAATTGACTCTAATTATAAAATCGTTATTGCTGAACTACCACCCAAAAGACACGGGCTTCAGAGACCAAGCCGCTCAAATGGGGAGCCTGCGTTAGCTAGCTACGAAACGACCCAGAGCGAGCTCCGAGAATCTGATGACGCGTTAGCAATCCGATGTAAAATCAAATGTGAGTAGCTGAGAGCTATCGTTTCGATATCTTAGCCTTTCTTGGCGCCAAGTATAGCACTCTCCTAGCGGAGTTTCAGATACGAGACCGTTTGAATGGGGAGCCTGCGTTAGCTAGCTACTAGAACGACCCACGATCAAGTATCCAAATGGCGTATACCCGCTTTACCAGTCAAGTATTAAGAATCGTTGCGGCTCTTGACAGCGAAAACTGTTCCGGTTATACTTATCCAGGAGACTTCTAGCTTGCTCGACTTCAAAAACTGTTCTGCGATTTAAGCGAGTTTCGCTTATACTCGCCAGCCTGACAATTTCTTGGAAAACCCCCATAACATCGAAATATATAATTGTCGTATAAATTTGTAATTAAACATTAATTATGAAAACGAACGATTTAATTACATTATCAATATCGCAATCTACACAATGGTTTACGTTCCTGATATAAAAGTAGTAATTTAATAGTGTTTTAGCTAAAATCGCATTTTCTATCCTCCTCTATGTACTACGCACGACTTCTATACGGATCTGAGCTAAATGTATAAGCATACGATGCTTCTAGAACATTCCATTGAATAATATTATAATTTACAATATATACTGCAATGAACTAACGTCTGACTTTAATTCCGGATAACATAATATTAGTACGCTTGATATGTATTGACTGATTTGTTTAACTAATGGTTTTTAATAACTAATAATATCCCAATCGTAAAATATATTCTTATCCTTCTCTAAGATAACGCAAGACTACTAGGAAATTCGGAGCGAGCATCGCGGCACGTAGCGGAATTTTCCATACAAAACCATACATTTATTCGAATAACTATAAAATAATACATAAATCTTGCTTTAAATGAATTAACTTAACATTTGATTGATTTTATGAAACATATCCTTTCCAAATTGAAAACATAAAATAATTATTGAAAATTAAAATATATATATATGCTCGATTACCGACGAACATTCCATTGAATAATATTATAATTTACAATATATACTGCAATAAACTGTCGAAATTAATACATAAGGTAATTGATATATAATGTACTGTCGGTAATTGTCTAATATTGTCGGTAACTAAACTATTCTCACGGTGGGTAATTGAATTAGAGCACAGAACTGCCATGTTGGTGACGAAAAGAAAAAAAAAAACTCTTCCAACGTAAACAGTGACCTACCAGGAGGACACTCCTAATGCAAGAATAAAACTTTTTTATGTTTTTTTTTTTTTTTTTAATTTTATCCATCATATTTGTAACATTTTTTTCATTAAAATGAGACCAAACACGGTATACTTCGGGACATATTTACTTGTAATTTCAAGTGTTACGCGTACATCGATGGCTTTACTCTAATAAGATATTGCAAGTAAATATAACTCAAATTACGTCGTGTTTGGTCTCATTTTAGTCAGGAAAATATCACGAATATGATGGAGAAAGATATATAAAAAAATGGATGAAAAATACAAAATTTAGCAATGCTTAAGTATTGCAAACAATCGAACAGACTTTTGATCTTTGCCGACTGCCACGATCGTAGCGTCTCTTTCTTTTTGACTCGCTATCCTCTTCGACGTGAGAAACTTTTATCGTCAATTAAACCAGTAAATATAGTCCAAATTATGTCGTGTCTGGTCTTCTTTTAATCAAAAAAATATAAAGAATCTATTGGTAAAAGTTGGATCTCGAAAAAATCAAAAATAAAAAAGTTTCATATTTGTATATGTATTGCTTCACAGATATACCCGACCCCGGATCATGTTACATTTCTCGGCGATCGTGCTTCTTGGCGGTTGAAGGGGT